GACAGAAACTTTACACCTGGTCCCCGCAGCACAGCTGAGATAGGCTGGGACGCCAAATATGGCTTCTGAAGACTAGAGCAGCTCAAAAGGGAAGTAAACAGAGGGCGAGCGAGTTGCTTAGATTGTTGGAGCTGCAGCCCCAGGTGGCTGGCCAACCCTCCTGAACGGCTGAGTGGCAGGTGCAGAGTCCTTGTCCTGTGCGGGGGGGGCTGCCTGAGATCCCCAAGCCCTAGTCCTTTTGAAGGGCCAGAACTCCCTCACCTGGTGCCATCACATCCTAGCGCCTCGTGTCTCTACTCGGAGGGCATCGCGTCTCAGCCTTCCAGGCAGGAGCCACTCCAAGGCATCCTGACATGTTTATGATGAAACCTTAGAGACACAGCCCAGCATTAGAGTAGGTTACACAATTCTAGAAACAATAGGGTTAAGGTGTTCACCCAGTCCACAGGCAACATGGCCTTTGTCCTTAAGGAACTTAAACAGTGCTCGACAATATATGTGATTCCTCAACAAGCACATACCGAGCGCCTGCTGGTGCCAGGAGCAGCACTCGATGCTGGGCATAGGCGATGAGTTAGATAAGCAGTCCTTGCATTGGCGATGCTGGGCATAGGCGATGAGTTAGACAAGCAGTCCTTGCGTTGGGGAGCTTATAGGCTGCTGGGGGAGAGAGACATGGAGCACCAGTTGGGGGACAGGGGCTGCAGAGCCTTTAGCAGGAGCTGCAGTGGCCTGGCAGGTGAGGGGCGTCAGAGCTGAGGCCGGCAGATGAGGAGGTGGGGTGAGCTGTGGGGGAAGGAGAGGTCTCTGGACTGCACCAGGCTTCCTGCCAGAGCTCCCAGCTGGGCCTTGAGAGCGAGTTGGCCTTGGGGAAGCAGAGGGGGTCCCTGTAGTGAGGCAGGAATGAGTATTTGGGACCATCGGTCTGGCCGCTCTGGTCTCACAGTTGTGTGAGAAGGAAGTAAAGGGAGAATAATTGCTTTTGGAGGGGCTGCGTCTGCGTGGAGGGCCAGGCGTCCACATGGATGTGGGCATGAGGCACTTCCAAAGTTAGAAAGGTGGCCCTCTGGTGCAGGCGAGCAGGGCGTGACACTCAGTCTTCTGAAGAAGAAACTAGAGAGAAAGAAGCCTGAAGAGCCAGGGACAGGGTGCCAAGACACCTGCGGGGGTGGGGGGGTAGGGAGCCAGTGTGGAAGGCAGGAGAGGACCACAGCATGTCATGCTGTAGAAGCTCAGAGAACAGTTCTCAAGGAGGAGAAAGAGGGAGGAGTGGCTTATCTGGGCCAAATGCAAACGAAGCTTCTAGGGCTCTGAGAATTGGGCATGGTAGTACAGGACTGTATCCATGCAGATGAAGGAGTATTCATAATAAATTGCCTTGGTCTCTTTCTCTCTCCCAGAAGAGCACCTTTTCTTGCCTTCCTGGCCAAAAGCATCCCCAGAGGCCCCAACAGCAGGTGTGTAGCAACTGGCCATCCCTGGGGCTTTGGAGGGATGAGGCCCAGGCTCTCTGCCTGGTGTCATTGGCCACCTAGCCCGGACAGCTGACTAATGATGGGACGCCAGCATTGCCTTTGAGCTGCAGAGATGAAAGTGGCCACGGGCCGCTGGGGCCGGGCAGGCAGCAAGCAGGTAGGGGCAGGTCTGCCTGACAGCTCAGCGAGGAGGGGGCCCCTCCCTCACCCCTCCGCGTTCCAAAGTCACATCTATCCGAAAGCTTTGTACAGAAGGGAGCCCAAGGCTCACCTGGAGTGAGAGGAAGCTTCTCTCCTTAAACAAGTCTGGCCCTAGGGAAAGCTGAGCTTGACCCTTTTGTGGAGGAGGAGGGGCCCCTTTACACATTGCAGACACCAGGTCTGGGGCTTCCAGCACAGCCTTTCCTGGGACCTGCCCCAGTTGCTGCTTTGGGCCAGGCTGGGCCTCTCCAGACAGGTGGGGTTCTGGCCACTGGGGCTTGGGCCACACCCAGGGAGCAGTGAGGAGGCTTCAGAAACCAAGGTGTGCCCAGCCCGATCCAGGAAGATCTGCCCCACCCACACCTATTAACCATTTTTGGCACTAGAGTAGCCTTCCTCTACTCTGATAGATATAAAGTTGGAGGGGGCAGGATCAGGAGAGGATAAATGGGTGAGAATGGATACAGCCAGAAGGGAGGCCACTGTGGGGAAGTGTGCAGAACAGTCTCGAGTCAGGTGGCCTATTTTGAGCAACTCACTTCTCTGCTTGGAGCCTTCCTCTCTTCATCAACAAAATGGGATTAGGGGTATTACATGGCCAACACGTTTTAGAGGGTTGTCAGGAGTAAATGAGAGAACGAATGAATTTTCCAGACTGTCCAGGTTAAGTAGGTAGGTGTTGGTCACCTTGGCCACTGTCACTTCAGGGCTTTCAACATGAAGTCCATGGAGCCTGAATTTGGGGGATCTGTGGAGCATGTGAAATAAAGTGTAAAAGTGCACATGTGGCCTCTATTTGTGGTGGGGACCCATAGCTCTCCTCAGCTTCTCAAAGAGGTCAGGGACCCAACAGAAGATCAGACCCACACACAGCACAGGTCTGTCCCTTTTCAGATGAGTTAGTGGACACCTAAGGTCACACACACCCTGTCAGAGGCAGGATGTAGGGCCCTTGTCCCACGCCCTCCCCTGGCCTGGGTTAACCTCTACTGCCCTTCCAATGTCAAGTGAGGGGGAAACAGAAGGGATCGGGGAGGGGAGACAAGCCAGATGCGAAGCCTCAAGTCCTGCTGGGAGCTGGGACCCTGGTCCCCACTCTGGGTTACCAGGATGAGGACATGATGGCAGGGGGAAGCTGAGAGAAGAAGCTCCAAGGTTGGGAGGGGCCTGGGAGGCCCTTCCTGGAAGCCCACATTGCCAAATAGGGGAGTCATCCTCCCTTTTCCAACAGTTCCCCACAAAAACTGGGAGGAGGAAGCACAACTCTCTCTGATGCTGTCTTGAGATGACTTCTCTGGTTCTGTCTTCTTCTCTGGAAATTTTTTGCCGGGGGTGGGTGAGTATTGGCAGGAACAGCTCTGTGGAACATGCACAATAGGTAGAGGGTTCAGAGAAGACACCATGTCAAAGCTTCATGGATGGGCCACATGCAAATGTCAGGTAGTCATCACCCAAACATGCCATTTGTTGGCCATTTGCCATCACCCAAAGATTCCAGGCATGTGCTGGATGCTCTGCCTAAGTCAGTGTAAATGTCACCACCTCAAGAGGACTTCCCTGACCCCTTGGGGTCATAAACCCTGGTAAACTAAATCCACTCCTCTCCCTCACCCCCCGGTTATTCTCTCATGCTCCTTGTTCTTTCCCTTTCTACCACGTACTGTCATTTGTGATGGTTTTATGTGCTCTCTTTTGTTCCCCTCCACTCCATTAGACTATAATCTTGCCATGAACAGGAGTCGTATCAGGTGTTGACTGCTGTCTATCCATGCTAAGCACAGTGCCTGGCATCTAGTAGTCACCCAAGTCCTTGTTAAATGCATGCATTGCTGTCTCTAATCTTCACAACAGCTTTATGAGGCAGGCATTATTATCATGCCTGTGTTACCGAAGAAGAAACTGAGGTTCAGAGGGTCACAGAGACTTGCTTAAGGACACAGTTTATTATCAACTTCAGCTCTGCTCCTTTCCCTAAGGGATTCAGAGAACGAGAAGACCTAAGGGTCAGAAGAGAAAGTTGGGCCCAGCAAAATGGCTCCTCTGTCCAGCCAGCCCCTGCGCTCAGCCCTCCCCAGCCGAGCTCTCCCAGCCTCTCGTCTCACCCCAGGAGCTGCGAGTCATCAATCCACAGCCACAAAGCTGGAGGCCAGTCCAAACTGGCTTGTTTATTTCCCAAGCCAAGCGAGACTCAGCCCTTTCCTGTCCACCCCAGGGCAATATACAGCTGGGAGTCCACGCCCTACCCCTCAAGCCGTAACATGACCGATAAATTAATGAACTTTTATAAAACATTGTCCAGGGAAAATACATACATACAGAGAGAACCAGTGCTGGCATTGTGTGGCAGGGTGGGAGGGGGGTTACTTCTTGAACACAGGTACCAGACCCTGCCCCATCAGGGTGGCGGCCTTGGCTATCTGGGCTCCCACTTAGCCCTGTACTCTTCCCTGAAATAGCTCACCTGCTGTGCTGAAAACCTGGTACCTAAGCTGGTTACCATAAATCACGAGGGCCCAACATCTTGCTCCCAAAGGGAGCTGCTTCCTGGCTGCCCTCCCACCGTCCCAGCCCTCTGAGGTGGCCCCCCCTCCCGTCCTTCCTTCTTGCTGAGGTCCACCAGGACCCGAAGACAGGGAAACCAGACCAAGAAATATTGTTTCCTGATATGCTTGGTGATCATATATCATCCCAACCTAGACTTGTGTTAAAAGTAGAAGGCGGTCTAATTCACTAGAAAACAACCATAACTCTGTACTGCCCAGGCAAAGGACAAATGTCACTCTGCTATCGGTCTCCCCTGCTCCAAACTGGCCCAGCCCTACCATTCTTGACTTTCCAAAACACATTCCCAATTGGCAGCAAATTCCTCTCAAATCTCTATTCCCATCTCTGCTACCTCTCATTCTCCAAGCCCTTCTAGCATCTTTGCTATACTTTTTAAGTCCTCAATAATATTGGTGACTTTTAGTATCAGGATTAGGAATAATGCCTCCTCCAACTTCCACGTAAGGCCTCTGGTGTCAAGCCCCAGACCTCATAGCTCCTTGGGCCCAGTTCACCAAATCAGGGCTGCATGGGTCTGAATAGAAAAGCAGCTCATACCTGTAATCCTAGCACTCTGGGGGGCTGAGGCAGGAGGATAGCTTGAGCTCAGGAGTTCAAGACCAGCCTGAGGAAGAGTGAGACCCCATCACTACTAAAAATAGAAAAATTATCTGAGCATCATGGTGTGCATCTGTAGTCCCAGGTGGCTGAGGCAGGAGGATCCCTTGAGCCTGGGAGTTTGAGGTTGCAGTAGACTATGATGACACCATTACACTCTACCCAGGGTGACAGAGCCAGACTCTTGTCTCAAAAAAAAAAAAAAAAAAAAAAAGTAAAGCAAGCCTTACTTCTCAATCTCCCATCCCAAATTTGCCAAATCTCCTCTCGCTAGGCCTCCCTGTAGTTAAGGGCCATGGCCAAGGAAAAATGAACCATCAATCCCCTTACTTCTGCCCTTGGCCAATGCAAAGGGCTTCTCTTCTGTTCCAGTGTCTTCCCTATATGTTGTGCATGTACATTCCTGGTCCCACCTCAGTGTGGCTAGGAACCCCAAGTATCACCTCTTGGGGTGGCAAGTGATAGAAGCTAAAGAGATCTACCTGTAGTGCCCTGCACCTCCACCTGGTTGGGGCTGGGCCTTGGCCCCTTGCGAGGGCCTGACAGTCAGCGCCCCACCCCTTGCTCTGAGAACCTGCTCAGTGGGACATGCTTGTAAAACTGCTTTAAATAAGTCTTGCTACAGCAGATAGTACCAGATATCAGAAACTCAGTGCCCAGGCCCTTAAAGGTTCTTCCTGTCTTCCCTCCTTTCCCTCCCCATGGTAAACAGTCCGCAGGCTGCTTCTCATTCGTTGTCCATCCGTCTGTCTTCCGGGAGCAAAGCTTCCTCCACGTCTCAGTCAGGCTGCCTAACACCTGCTGCGTCCCTCCCACCCCCTGCAAAAGCAAGTGCCCAGGTCCAACCCCTTGGAGTAGAGCTGAGCGAACTCGGGGCTCAGGAGGTGGCTTTCCGATGGGCCCCTGAGTAGGTATAGGAGATGGGATGGCGCGTCCCAGGCCTCACAGTAAACGTGTTGATAGGGCTTCCGTAGTGGGGGGTGCTGTGGAGAGACCTGGGGGAGAGCAAGAGAGGTCAGTTTAATGCCTGCAGCTGGCCAACCAACACCCCTCCCATCTCCCCCAGGGACGGGGCAATGTGGCTCAGCCCTGTTGCATCTGACCCCACAAACCTCGGGCTTACCAAGCCCAGGGAGGGACCCCAGTCCACCAGACACAGGGCTGCCCTTACTGCCGAATACTCTTTCCCCCAGAACCCTCCCTCCAGCCTGGGTCCGGACCCATCTGTGCTGTTGGGAAATCCCTCTACCCAAGGAGCACTCAGCTCCACCCCCACCTAGAGGGTGGGAGAGAGCAGAGAGAAGAGGAGGAGCGGGGGATGAGGGCGCGAGAACACGGGAAATGAGAAGCAGGTAAGGGAACCGCCAACAGCGTCCTCTTCAGGCAAGTCTACCTCCTGGCGTTTCTGCCAGCAAGCAGAGGGGGAGAAAACCAGACGCAGACGGCCACGGCCTGGTCGCCCCTCTGTGGCCCGAGAGGACTACATGGACTTCACCTGGCTCCCAACCCCCGGGCTCCCTCCGTCAGCCCGGCCCCGGCTCACCTGCCCGCAGGCGGGGCGAAGCCGTAGTCGGCGCCGCCGGGCGCTTTGTGCTGGGCGTCCCCGGCCGCCCGGGCGGCGCCCTCCATGGACAGCCTCCGCGCGTGCAGGCCGCCGGGGGGCGCGCGGCCCGCCGAGTTGATGCGCCGCATCTCGGGGCCCGCGGGCGCTCCGAAGGGCCCCCCGGGCTGCGGCCCGAAGCAGTTGGGCGTGCTCAGGCTGCGGCCGGTGCCGCCGCGAGGCCGCCCGGGGCTGCGGTGGGGGTCCCCGACGTACAGGCGCTTCTTGATGAGCGAGCGGCCCCCGCCCGAGAAGCGCTCCAGGCCCCCGGCCCCGGCGTAGCGCGCCCCCGCGGGGAAGCCCGAGGAGCCGCGGGCCGGGGCCGCTGCGGGGCCCGCGTCCCGGGGCTGCCCCAAGTCTGAGAAGTTGTTCCGGGGAGGGGAGCCGCGGCGGCGGCCCAGATACTGGAGGGTCGGGGCCGGGGGCTCAGGGTCATTGCTGAACTCCGGTGGCGGCGGGATGACCTCGAAGCTGAACTCTTTCTCCTCCTCCTCCTCCTTCTTGTACGAAGGGGAAGGTGGGGACGAGAAGGACTTGGGCAGCAGGCGGCCCCGCGGGGGGTTGGAGGGAGCTGGTCTTTCCCAAGCCACGGGGGCCTGGGGCTCCGCCTTTGTCCAGTTGTGCCTGCGGCTTGGCTCTGTGCGCTCGGGGTCTCTTCGGGGCTGGGGCTGCCACTGGCGGGATGCCGTGGGCTGCGCTGCCGAGGTCAGCTGGAAGTCCCTCTCGGGCGACTTGGGGGACTTGGGGACCACAGTGAAGGAGTTGGGCCGGCCCTCGCTGTAGAAGATGCTGTCGGAGCCCGCCAAGGCCTCGGGTTGGTGGCCGTGGCCGCGGATACTCCCTGGCAGGGAGGACCGACCCAAGACGGCCCCTCCGGGCCTCCCCTTCTGTGCCCGCTGCCTGGCTGCCAGGAGCAGGGCCATTGGGGAGCCCCGCTCCACCACCTCCCCGGTCACTGGGTGCCTGAGGAGGTCATCAGCAGGCTGGGCTGAGGCGGGGGGTTGGGCTGGCGGTCCCTGGGGCGCCTTCACCTCCACAGGCTCCCCCGAACCGGTAGCCTCTCGTCTGGCCGGGTTGGGCATCACCACAGCAACCTCTCTGCTGGGGCTGTTCTGGCTGCGATGGGCCTTGTAGGGAAACGGCACCTCTTCCCTGCCAGGGGACGTCTTTGGTGGGAGGGCTGGCGATGAGAGGGCTCCCCCTGTGCGCAGCCTGGTGGCCTCCGAGGGGGGCCCTTCTGCCCTTGGCTGGGCGGGAATGGGAATGTCTTGAGATTCTGGCTTCTCCCACTGCTTAGCTGGGGCTACATCCTTGTCTGCCATCGGTTGGGATGATGTAGTGGGCAGAGTTGTGGCTGTAGATGGCACAGCAGGCCCAGGCGTGGTGTTGGGTGGTGTCGCTGGCCCCGGTGTGGCCTTGGGTGGTGTGGCTGGCCCAGGTGTGGGCTTGGGTGGTGTCGCTGGCCCCGGTGTGGCCTTGGACTGGGGTGGTGTGGTTGGCCCAGGAGTGGTGGATAGAGGTGGTGGATTCTTGGCCACAGGCTTGGAGAGTTTGCCATTACCAGCCCCGTTTTCAAAGATTCTTCCCCCTTCTAGCCGAGGCTTGGGAGGCAGAGACCCTATGCTGGGCTTGGCTTCCTTCTCTGCTGAGGATGAGAGCCGGGCCTCCAGCTCATTCCGGATCTGCCGGACGCTGGGAGCTGGGGAGTCTTCGGGGACGTAGTCCACAGGGGGGAGGGTCAGGCTGGGGGCTGCCTCTCCCCCTGGCAGGCTGCCGCTGCAGAGACTCTTCTCAGGAACGCCTGGCGAGATCTCTGTCTCTGGCAGGCTGGGGGGAGCCTCCTTCTCTGGCAGGCTGGGGCCTTTCCTGCCCTCCTTGCCCTGAGAGGCCACCGCTGGGCCTGGCCTGTGACCGAGGTTTCGGTCCTCCCTCCTGGCTCCGCAGAGATAGGCCGCCAGCTCACTCCGCAGCTTTTCCATTTGGCTGGGGTCCCGCCAGTCCACGGGCGCTGACGAGGCTGTGTCCTCTGGGCTCGGGGGCTGGGGTTTGGGTTTGAGAGCAGGAGAACTGGATTTGGGGCTTCTGGTAACCCCAGCAGGTGGAGGGGCTGCCTTCTCAACAGAAGGCAAAGGAGGGGCAGCTGGGGGAAGGGGTGGTGCTGGGGGAGGGAGTGGGGGTGCAGGAGGGGGCAGGGGAGGGGCTGGAGGTGGAGTCACAGCTCGTTCATTTGTCCGGGACTGAGGCTGGCGGAGCCGGGGGCTGGCTGGTGCCGAGGCCCTGGGCTCCCCAGGGCGGTCCGGCTCGGGGGCCCTGTCTGGGTAGACCTGGGATGCAGGGCGGATGTGGAAGCTGGGAGGCAGTGGGAGTCGGCTGGGAGCCTTCTTGGTGGCCCCCTCTCCCTCTAGGGGAGCCCCCTGTGCTTCCTGAACTGGGATGGATGAAGTCCTGACTGGGGTTGGGGGAGGCACTTTGAAGGAACGGGGGAAGGTGAGGTGGGGCTCTGGCTTAGGTCCCGGGGTGCTCCCCTTTGGCTCAGCAGGGCTCCTGGGGGGGCTGGTTCTGGGGGGCTCTGGCTGCCTGTCATTCAGTGCTATCTCTGATTTCCACTTGGTGACACCCCCAGGGGGAATGAAACGAGGCTCCGTTGTGTGAGGAGACACTGGAGCTGGGGGTGTTGGGGCTGGCACAGGGGGCGGTGGGGGGACTAGAAAGGCCGAGGGTGGGGCAGGGGGAATGAAGTCAGGAGGGGTGGGTGTGGACGGGGAGGAGAGCGCAGATGGGGGGGATAGGGCCTCCGATAGTGGGGGTGCAGGGGGGGCCATGCTGGGCGGGGATGGGGGTTCCAGCAGCAGGGGAGGTGGCGGGGGGGCTGTGGAAGGTGGAGGTGGTGGTGGGGACTCCCCTGGAGGTTGTAAAGTGTCCTGGGGGGGCCCTGGGGCTGGGCCTGGGGGAGGTGGGGGGATGAGTGGATCCTGGCCATAGTGCCCAGGCCTTAGGTCACCCGCAGAGCTGTACAGTCGGAGGGTGCCGTTGACGAGTGTGCTGGTACCTGAAAGAAGGGAGAGGAGACGATGAGGAGGGGGCAGGCAGACCAGCCTTGCCAATCTCTGCAGGCCCCCAAGGGAATAACGGGCCCGTTTTCTCCTGAACACCAAGCGAGGGAGCAGCCAGTGTCCTGTGCTGTCCGGAGGGTCCTCCTCCATTCTAGGGAAGGCCCCTGCCTGTCCCTGGAGCAGCCTTTCCAGCCTGTCCTGAATATTCTCCACTTGCCACCCCCCCAGTCGCCCTCCACCCAGCCCTGCCCAGCGCTTGGACTCCTTACTCTTGGCGGCAGGGGAAACCAGAGAGGCCAGGGTGCTGGTGCCCCCCCTGCCTGCCGGCTGGGTCACAGGGCAGCAGCAGCTGCCTTTCCCCACCACAGGCCACTGTCCCTGTGGGGTGGCCCTCCTCCCACGGTTCAGCAGGAGTAGTGGCTCCCACTGTTGTCAGTCCCTGGGTGTCACTGTCCACTTTGCCCCCTAACCAAGCTTATAATCTTGTACACTGTCCCTTTACGAAACTCTCTCTTCAGTTATCCCCATTGAGTACGCCATCTTTCTTGCTGGGACCTTGACCTTGGCAAAGCCAGAAAGACCAGGGTTCAAATCCCAGCTCTGCCACTGGGATGTGTGACCTTGTACACCCTAACTTTGCTGAGCCTCAGTCTCATTATCCATCAAAGGGACATAATGTCAGTGCTTACCCCATAAAGCTGTTGCGAGGGTTCAATGAGAGAATTCATGCAAATATAGTGAAGGGCTCATCACAGTGCCGGGCCTCTAGTAGGCACTTAATGAATAGTGACTACTTTGAGTACTGCCATCTGAGCTTAACCTTTCAGACTGTATGGTACAGATAGGGAATGTGGGAGAGACAGGAAGTCATGGGAGGAGGTGGGGTGGAAGAGCAAGAGGGAGCAACCTGCACAAACAACTTCTTCGAAAGACCCTGGATCTATTGAGAACCGACGTTTCCACCTCACAGAGAACTTCTGGAGCAGACTGTGGACTGCGGGGTGGAACAGGGATGTGCGGAAGGAAGACGAGCTGGACAGTCCAGGCACCAAAGAGATGCTGAGTGCCCCTGGCCCCAGCGGCCCAAAGCCCTCCGTCCTTGGCCCCCGTCCAGCCCCTCTTCCGGAGTCTACTTCCTTCTTAGGGGCATCCGCCCTTCACTCCCCTCCTCTCGGCCCCCAGCGCACAGCGTGGCAAACCTGGGGACCGTGCAGCTCTGAAGGGCTCCTCTCAACTATCTGCTTCAAAAGGAAGAGACCAAGGGCAGGGAAGGAGAAAACTGACATTCATGGAGCACCCAAATCTCAGGCGTTGAGTTAGGAGCTGGGATACCGTGGCCAAAACCAAAACAAAAACCAGATAAAATGCTGGCCTGCCTGCAGCTTCTGCTTTGACGGAACAATGAGACAGACACGGAACACAACAAATTATCACGACGTCAGATGAGGAATGCTACGGGGATCCAAAAGGGATGCAGAGCTGAGGGTACCATCTAAATAGGGTGGTCAGGGGAGGCCTTGCTGAGAAGGTGACGTTTGAGCAAAGAGTGAAGGAGTGAGGGAGCGAGCAGCACGGATGTCTAGCAGAAGAACACTCTAGGCCGAAGGGCCCCGCAGTGCAAAGGCCCCAAGGTGGAAAAGTGTATTTCAGGAGCAGCAGGAGACCCTGCAGCCAGGGTAGTTGAGGAGGGAAAAGAAAGGAGGCAACATGGCAGTCCTTGCAAGAGCCTTTGCTTTGAGTGATGTGGGAAGTCGCCGGTGGGTTTTGAGCAGAGGTGTGACATAAAGTGCCTTACATCCCATCCAACACTTCACTGAATCCTCCAGACTGGAACTGTTGTTCCCACCGTCCACTGGCAGATACAGAGGCAGGAGGGATGAAGTGTCTTGCCCCGGGGGAGCAAAGCTAATCTGTGGGGAGCTGGGGTTCAAAGCCAGGTCCTTCTGACTCCAGAGTTTTTCCACCACTTCACACTTCCCTTGTCCCTGCTCTGGCCTTGTGCCTTCACCATCCTTCTCCTACCCTGGCTCTCCTCACTGCTCCTGCCCACTGCAGCCAATTAGCCTGGGGACCCTGGCTGTGTCACCAGCTGCGGAGGTGGGCCACATGCATGACTTTTCAATCCAACACCCAAGAAGGAAACAATGACAGATGGAAAAACCCCAAGGTCCTCTTACCTGTCACTTCTTTGTCTGCAAAGTCTTCCGGGACAGAGGGGGTAGGCACAGCCAGCCCGTGGTTTTCCTGGGCATTCTGAAAGGGACCAGAGAGAGATCAGGGGACAGGGAAAGGCAGATAATTCTCAAATTGCTGTGAGGCCATTTTACTGCTGAAAACCTGCAGGGACAGTGATGGTTGCACAATCTTGTGAGTCTACTGAAATATAAAAGGGTGAATTTAAAAAGGTGAATCTTTTTTTTTTTTTTTTTTTGAGACAGAGTCTCGCTCTGTTGCCCAGGCTAGAGTGAGTGTCGTGGCGTCAGCCTAGCTCACAGCAACCTCAATCTCCTGGGCTCAAGTGATCCTCCTGCCTCAGCCTCCCAAATAGCTGGGACTACAGGCATGCACCACCATGCCTGGCTAATTTTTTGTATATATATTAGTTGGACAATTAATTTCTTTCTATTTATAGTAGAGACGGGGTCTCGCTCTTGCTCAGGCTGGTTTCAAACTCCTGACCTCAAGCAATCCGCCCACCTCGGCCTCCCAGAGTGCTAGGATTATAGGCGTGAGCCACCGCGCCCAGCCTAAAAAGGTGAATCTTACACGGTACAGTCAATTCTCATTATTTGTGATAGTTACATTCCGCAAAGTTCCAGCGAACACCATACTAGTGAATACTGACCTGCTGCTCCTAGGGGAAATATAGGGTTACGTTCCTGAGAGCCTCTGGTCACAACATTTTTGTCATTTGATCAGTGCATAACCTGCTTTTTTTTTTTTTTTTTTTGAGACAGAGTCTCGCTTTGTTGTCCAGGCTAGAGTGAGTGCCGTGGCGTCAGCCTAGCTCACAGCAACCTCAAACTCCTGGGCTTGAGTGATCCTTCTGCCTCAGCCTCCCGAGTAGTTGGACTACAGGCATGCGCCACCATGCCGCTAATTATATAATATATCGGTTGGCAATTAATTTCTTTCTATTTATAGTAGAGACGGGGTCTTGCTCTTGCTCAGGCTGGTTTTGAACTCCTGACCTTGAGCAATCCGCTCGCCTCGGCCTCCCAAGAGCTAGGATTACAGGCGTGAGCCACAGCGCCCGGCCATAACCTGCTTTTTGTATGTTTATGTTTGAAGACATGCTAAGAAGCTTTTCTGATTCACTAGCATTGAACTCATGGCCAGCAGCACTGTGCTCATGCCCAGCAGGTGCATTTCCTGCGTAAGGCACATCACAGCCTCTGTTCGTAGGGACACTAGAGGGCACCTCAGCATTATGCTTGGGGGCCATTTTAAACAGTGAAATCACCAGGAACAAGCAAAAAGAAATATGAAAAACATGGCACTAAACAGAAAGAGACACTTGTTTATGTTAGGCAAATTCGCAGATACAGAATCCATGAATAGGACTGACTGTATGTGAATTGTATCTCAATTAAAAGAACAAAACAGGCCAGGTGTGGCGGCTCATGCCTGTAATCCTAGCTCTCTGGGAGGCTGGGGAGGGAAGATTGCTTGAGCTCAGGAGTTCCAGACCAGCCCGCGCAAGAGCGAGACCCCATCTCTACTAAGAATAGAAAAATTAGCCGGGCATCATGGTGCATGCCTGTAGTCCCAGCTACTTGACAAGCTGAGGCAAGAGGATGGCTTGAGCCCAGGAGTTTGAGGTTGCTGTGAGCTACAATGATGCCACTACCCAGGGCAACAGAGTAAGACTGTCTCAAAAAAAAAAGAAATTTAAAAAAAAATAATAAAATTAAAAAAATTGAAAAAAAATAAAATAGTGAGGAAACATCGGGGAAATTTAAAAATAAATAAATAAATAAAAAGAACCTGCAGTGACTCCTCATGGATGTCCACAGGTTAAAAGCCAAACCCCTGGCCTGACATCCCGTTTATTCTTAGTTTTCACTAGGTATTTACAGAAAAATAAATAAAAAGAAATGAACTCGAATATTTATAGTACTGCAGAAGCCCTTCTGATCTCTGAGCTTACCAGACCACAATGTGTTGACACAGCTGTCAGTTTGTACATACCCTTTTGCATTCTATTCTTTTCTCCCAAACACATATTTCCATATGTCAACAAAGTCCACACACCTGTCATTCAAAGAGCTGTAGAGCACATCATGGTGGCTTTCAAGGTCCTCAATGACCTGGCCTCATGCTTCCCCGCCAACACTTATCTCCCACTCGCCTGTTCCGCCCGTCCTGCATCCAGCGTGACTGACTCCCTCCCTGCCACCCTTTTGTCCATGCTCGTCCCTGCTGCTGGGTGTTGTGCCTGTGCCTCTTTTGCCCACTCTTCATTTCTAATAATATATATATATTTTTTTTGAGGCAGAGTCACTCCGTTGCCCCGGCTAGAGTGCCGTGGCGTCAGCCTAGCTCACAGCAACCTCAAACTCCTGGGCTCAAGAGATCCTCCTGCCTCAGCCTCCCGAGTAGCTGGGACTACAGGCATGCGCCACCATGCCCGGCTACTTTTTTCTACATGTTTTTAGTTGGCCAATTAATTTCTTTCTATTTTTAGTAGAGACGGGGTATCACTCTTGCATAGGCTGGTTTTGAACTCCTGACCTTGAGCGATCCACCCGCCTCAGCCTCCCAGAGTGCTAGGATTACAGGCGTGAGCCACCATGCCTGGCCTGTTTCTAATAATATTAATACTTCTTGCACTGTGCTGTAAAGACAGTATCTCAGTCCTACCACTCTATAAAGAAGAGGCTGTCCTCATTTACCAGATGAGGAAACTGAGGCTCAGAAACATTTTGGGAAGTTGTTTAAAGTCACACAAGCAGTGCTACCAAACCTGGGTCTGTGGAGCTCCCTCTCCTTAGTATTTCACCTCCCTAAAATCTCTGGCCCTTCAACGATCTGCTGCGTGCCTCTAGGGTGATGATATGGGGGAGGGCTAATGCACTGGCTTTGGATCCAGAGTGTCGGGGTTTGAATCTCAGCTCTGCTACCTACTAGCTGTATGACTGCGCATGTGACTTAAGCTCCCTGTGTCTCAGTTTCCCCATCTGTAAAATGGTGATAAAAATAGAATCTCCCCTATTTTAGGGGAGTTTTGAGGACTAAATGATGCAATACACAAAAAGCACTTAGGCTTATTATCTCATTTGACAGCTCCTGGCATGTAATAAAAGCCCAATAAATGTTAGCTGCCGCTGTTATTACTAAGGAGCCATTGCTCGTCTACACCAGCCCACACTGACTGCTGCTGCCCAGAGCAACCCACAGTGGTGTCCCACCAAAGGGGGCTCTTGTTTGGATCTTGTTCCTCCAATGAGATCTGGGAGCTCTTTGGAGCCCAGGTACCATGTCTTATGGCAACCTCCAAAGCTGGACACCTAGTAGGCCCTGTTGTTACTCACCGATGGGCTGATGGTGCTAACCCTCTGGACTTAGTGGCTTAATGTACAAGAAGGGGCATTCAAGGTCAATGCTACAGAAATATCTGTGAGACCTTGGGTTACCAAGGGCCATCTCAGAAATACTCTGGTCATTTGGGGGCAGCAAACAGCTGATCCTGTTTTTAAAAAATTCTGAAGCTGGGATGGCCTTGAGCCATCAACTGGTCTTTTTTCTCTGCCTCTACTTGAATCTCATGGCCAACAGCACACCTGTGCTTAAAACTTCCCAAACCCAGTGATGCTGAACCAAGGGAAGGGACGGGGCCCAGCCCATCAGAGGTGTGTCTCCCAAGACATCCTGAGATGCACACACACGCTGATCGCTGGTTGTCTAATAACCTCTATTAAGTACATACATTCTGATTTTGATGAGACAGAGGCCAGGCCTTCAAAAGCCAGGGTTAAGATTGCTGATTATTTATATTTGAACATAATGGGAAAGTAGAGAGATTTGGGGACTTAGCATTGAAAGCCTGGGGTTCCATTCGTGCTCCATTTTGCCAGGAGTGTGACCCTGGATGAGCAGTGGAGACGCAGGATGGGGACAGTGATGTCATCTGTGCTCTTCCTGTGTGCCACCCGTATATTAAGAGCCCTGCCTATGTCATCTTAAATCCCTTGCGGGAGCCAGGGTGCAAACCCAGGCTCTTCGCCACACCTTTTCTACATACCACTGAGACCCATTTTCTCCACTTATAAAAAAATGAGGTAGCATTTCCTGCTTTGCAGGGTTATTATGAGGATCAAACGAGACAATATCCTGAACCCAGGAAACGAATGCTGAGTGAAGGATGATACCTTCCGATCCGCTCCCCCACAAGGGTGGAAAAATTGTGAACAATCAAAGCTGAGCTCCTGGAATCCTAGTGGCACCTCTGGCTTACCCTGGCGCTTAATGATGTGTGTGGGAGGAGGATGGATGGACTTAATGGGCTGGAGGCAACACCACCCTCCCCACCCTTTGATCTTAAAGCACCCTCAGAATGCACTAGACTCCCAAGACTGCAGGATGCAAGTCCATCTCCACAGCGGCTCGGGCCAAGCTCTGGTGTTTTAGGTCCCTCCCCCCACACAAGGAGGTCTCATGCACGCCCGCTGCCTCGCCACAGTGCTTGTGGAGCTGTGACACGTCACTGTCTGACCCTTGGGGCAGTTCCCAAAGGCCAGCCTCGCCCCTTCAGGAGCTCCCAGTATTGAACCGAACATAGTCCCTCTGCGTCTCCCAGCCCTCCTGGCCCTGTTCCTTCCCGCTTTCGCCTGCATGGGCTCCTGTGACGCACTTAGCTGTCCCTCCACTGCGGTGTACTCAGGGAAGGCAAATGCAAACGCATTTTAATCTTAGCCCCAGAAAAACACAGACTCAAGATAAACCGCTCCCCTTGCTCACTGCGGGGACCCAGGCAGCTGGCATTACCGGCACTGGCTTAGACGGTGACATCTTTCATCTCCAGGAGTGCTGATTTCCTAACCTGCCTCCTTTAGCCTAGGGAACTGAGGAAAAGCCCCGTTAAGAAGAGGACTTGGAGGTGACACTTACATGCTATGCATGGTCCTAGACTGGAGCCTGGCATCGGGGGTGGGGGTGGGCCATGAAAGACATCAGTGGGTCAGTTGACAGGAAGTGAATGTAAATGGCGTATTAGATAATAGCACTGTATCACTATTAAAGTCCTGAATTTG